GCTCCTGCATTGAGCATCTGCCCTTTGGTGGTCAGTGTGTGTCATAGTGACCAGTCATTCCCAGTCGTTCTGCTGTTAGGGTCAATTTGCATATTACCCTTTTATTATATAGGATAGAGTCCTGGTGCACGGGTGGGGGCCGGCTGGATTGCCCTGAAGGGTGTCCCAGATCAGGGTGGGGGTCCCACTGGGGTGCCTGGCCAGCCTGGGTGAGGGGCTGATGGGTGTTTGCAGGCTGGTTACACCCCCTTCAGGGTGGGGGTCCCCACTGGGATATCTGGCCAGCCTGGGTGAGGGGATGATGGCTGTTTGCAGGCTGGTCAAGCCCCCCCAGTGGGGACCCTCACCCAATGGAGGTTTGGCCAGCCTGGGTGAGGGGCTGATGGCTGTTTTCAGGCTGGCCACACCCCCTTTAGGGTGGGGGGTTCCCACTGGGATGCCTGGCCAGTCTAGGTGAGGGGCTGAGGACCGTTTTCAAGCTGGCCAAGCCCCTCGGCGATGGAAGCTCCCAGCCTCTCCTTTTTTTCTTTTTCTTTTTTATTCTGGGATTTATTTACCTTCTATAATTGAAACTTGGTAGCCTTGAGTGGAGCTCAGAGCCGGCCGCGGCAGGCGGGAAGCTTGGCTTCCTCCATCACTGGAGCAACCAAGCCTCCTGCTTGCTCCAGCTCTGTGGCTGCCAGCCGCCATCTTGGTTGGGTTAATTTGCATATAGTTGCTCTGATTGGCTGGTGGGCGTGGCTTAAGGCATAGTGAAGGTATGGTCAATTTGCATGTTTGTCTTTTATTAGTGTAGATTTACTAGAGGCCCAATGCATGGATTTGTGCACTGGTGGGGTCCCTCGGCCCCCTGTGGGGATCAGGCCAAAACCGGCCCAGTGGATGGATTCGTCCAGGGTGTGTCTGGCCCGTATCACCCAGTCCTGGTCAGCTGGACCCCAGCAGCAAGCTAACCTACCAGTCAGAGCGTCTGCCCCCTGCTGGTCAGTGTGCATCATAGTGACTGGTTGAACTAATGGTCGGACACTTAGCATATTAGGCTTTTATTATATAGGATGTTTTTTTTTTTAGTAATGCTTTTATTTATTTATTTATTATTTTTTAAATTTTTTAAAATTTTTTATTGGTTAAGGTATTACAAATGTGTCCTCATTTCCCATTAACCCCCAACCTCCCCGTGCCACCGCCCCTCTCACCCCCAACCGCCATGCTCTCATTCCCCTGTTGTCAGTGTCCATTTGTTTGGCTTATATGCATGCATATAAGTCCTTTGGTTGATCTCTCCCCCTTACTCCCTCCCTCCCCTACTTTCCCTCTGGAGATTGATAGTCTGATCGCTGTTTCTCTGTCTTTGGATCTGTCCCTGTTCATCACTCTATGCTGTTCTCTATATTCCACAAATGAGTGAGATCATGTGGTATTTATCTTTCTCTGACTGGCTTATTTAACTTAGCATAATGCTCTCTTATTATATAGGATTTTTAAAAAAACAATCTGACAATCTCTACCATTTATTTTGGATATTTAGACTACTTACATTTAAATGCACTTATCCAGCTCTGACCAGTTTGGCTTAGTGGATAGAGCATCATTCCATGGACTGAAGGTTCCCAGGTTTGATTCCACTGGCAATTAATCAGTGTCTCTCTCTCATGTCAATGTTTCTCTTTCTCCCTCCCTTCCAAATAAAAAAATAAAATAAAAAAATAAATGCAGTTATCCATATAGTTAAGTTTAAATTTTTAAACATTTTATTTTTTTCAATTACAGTTTACACTCAATAGTATTTTATTTTAGTTCCAGGTTTACAGCATAGTGGTTAAACAAATTATCAAGTGATTCCCCTGATAATTTTAGTGCCCACCTGGCACCATACACAGTTATTACAATATTATTGACTGTATTCCCTATGCTATGCATTGCATCCCCATAACTACTTTGTAATTACCAATTTGTTAGCTAAGTTTAAATTTATCATTTTACTATTTGTTTTCTATTTGTTCTATTAGTCCTTTCTTTCCCTTTCCCTCTCTTTCTGTCTTCTTTTAGATCAGTGATTTTCAACCTTTGTCATGTCATGGTGGACATAAACTAATTACTAAGATTTCTGCAGCACACTAAAAAAATATATTTTTTGCCCTAGCTGGTTTGGCTTGGTGACTAGAGCGTTGGCCTATGGACTGAAGGATCCTGAGTTCAATTCTGGTCAAGGGCACATGCCCGGGTTGTGGGCTCGATCCCCAGTGGGAGGCATGCAGGAGGCAGATGATCAATGATTCTCTCTCATCATTGATGTTTCTATCTCTCTCTCCCTCTCCCTTCCTCTCTGAAAATCAATAAAAATTATTTTAAAAAAATATATTTTTGGTTGATCTGACAAAATAAATATACTGTTGACTTACTCACATCAGATGGCTATTGTTGTCATTTTTTTATTTGACAACCTAAGGGGAAAGAGGTCAGTGCCCCTGACTAAATAGCCAGGTATTGCATGTTTTAAACATTCTTGTGGCACACTGGTTGAAAATTGCTATTTTAGATTAACTAGATATTTTTATTATTCTATTGTCAACTTTCTTCCTTGTTGGCTTATTAGCTATCATTCTTTGTTGTGTTAGTTTAGTGATTGCTTTAGGTTTTGTAATATGCATCTTTAACTTATCACAGTTTACCTTCCAACAATATACCACTTTACAAATAAGAATCTCACAATAATACACTTCCATTTCTCTCCTGACCTTTGTGCTCTTGTTGTTATACACTTTACTTTTTCATATGTTATAAACTCCCCATTATGTTGTTATTATTTTTGTTTAATCAAATAGATTTGAATAATAGCAAAAAGTTCTTATATATTTACCTATGTATATACTTAGCATTTCTAATATTCATCATTCCTTTGTGTAGATTCATATTTCTCTGTGGCATCATTTCCCACCGCCTGAAGGACTTTCTTTAACATTTCTTCTAGTGCAGATCTGCTTACTGGTGATGGAGTCTTTCTGGTTTTGCATGTCTTAGGAAGCATTTGTTTCATTTCCCCTTTTGAACAGTATATTTATTGGGTATAGAATTCTAACTTGACAATTGTTTTTCCTTTAGAAACTTTAGCAAATGTGCTCCCTCATCACTACCTTCTCACTTGCATTGCTTCCAATGAGAAATAGGTTGTCTTCCTTATCTTTGTTCTTCTGTGCATATGTCCTCCCACCCTTTTGGTTCCTTTTAACATTTCTTGTTAAAAACTCTTAGTCGCTGGTTTAAATAATTTGACTACAATGTCCCATGTTCACATTTCTTATTTAGGGGCTCAATGAGCTTCTTGGATCTGTGGATTTATAGTTTCCATCACATTTGGAAAAGTTTCAACCATTATTTCTTCAAAAAACTTTGGCCCCTCTCTTTTGTCTCCTTCAGAGCTTCAATTATAAGTATAGTAGGCTGCTTAAAGTTATCCCACATTTCACTGACACCTGTCTGTTTGTTTTAATTCTCTTTTTTCTCTGTGTTTTATTTTGGATAATTTCTTCTGTGGGTCAAGTTCTGCTATGTCTAATCTCCCATTAATCCTATCCATTGTATTTTTCTTCTTTTTAAAAAATCCTCACCTGAGGACATGTTTTTATTGATTTGAGAGAGGGATGAAGGCAGAGGGAGAGGGAAAGAGAGAAACATCGATCAGTTGCCTCATGCATGCGCAACCTGCAACCTGGGTATGTACTCTACCTGGGAATAGAACCTGTGACCCTTCCGTGCACAGGATGACACACTAACCACTTAGCAACACTGACCAGGGCTATTGTATTTTTCATCTCATGCATTTTGAGGTTTATTTCTAGAAGTTTGATTTGGATCTTTCAATATCTTTATTCTCTTTTTGAGCACACGGAACACAATTATAATAACTATGGTATCTTAATGTCCTCATCTACTTATTCTAACATCTGTGCAAGTCATGGGTTGGCTTCAATTGATTGATCTATCTACTAATTATGAGTAATATTTTCCTGGTAATTTTTGCTTGGATGTCAGACCTGGTGATTTTTGCCTTACTGGTTGCTGAGTATTTTTGTATTTCTATAAATATTCTTGGGCTTTTTCCTGGGATCAGTGAAGTTATTTGATCCTTTGGGTTTTGCTTTTAAGATTTGTTAGGCAGAACTAGAGTCGTGCTCAATCTAGGAATAATTATGCCCACAACTGAGGAAATGCCTTCTCTTCCCAATGCCCTTGAGTCCTGAGATTATCCAGTGTGGCTGGTGGGAACAGTCACTCTTCCAAGCCCCATGTGAGCACCATAATCTCAAGGGCATTGAATGTTTTTCCCCCTTCACCTTGGGTGGTTTCCTCACACATAAGTGCTGACCAGTACTCAGCTGAAAGCTAGAAGGGGACCCTCTGCAGATATTTGGATCTCCTGCTCTGTGCTGGTCTCTCCTCTCTGGTACTCTATGAACTCTCCTGTCTACTTTGCCAGACGATAAAGGTCCCTGGTGGAGAAAATGTTAGCACTTCTAGCATCAGTAGACTTCTCTCATGTAATGATTATGAAAACAAAAGCAGAAAGGGTTACTAAAGCGAAATGTGATTTCAGCCCCCTTAAAGTTCCTATTTAACTCTAAGAGCAATCATTTTCTTGAAAATAATGAAAGTCCCTGGGCTGTATTAATGCTCCTGGACATCCATCATTCAGTGAACCCCTTGTTATTGCCACAGGTTATGTGTTATTTAGGCAATAATTGATGTTCATCAGGGAGCAAAACTTGGTAGGTATAGATTGAAACTTCAAAGTGAAAAACAGGCTGATTAGATTCTAGATAACTTGGTGACTCTAGATCTCTGCTATGGTTCCAGACACCTGGACAGATGCCCCCTGCAGTGTTTCATGACCCCCTACCCTGGGATTCTGATGGGCAGTATGGGGTGGAAATTGGAAAAGATGAATGTGGACCACGAGGAGGCTAGTGCTAGGTAATGGACAGCCTGTTTCCCACCCACAGGTGCTTTTTTCATCCCCTACCTCATCTTCCTTTTCACCTGTGGCATTCCTATCTTCCTTTTGGAGACAGCGCTGGGCCAGTACACTAGCCAAGGAGGCATCACAGCTTGGAGGAAGATCTGCCCCATCTTTGAGGGTGAGTAGCTGTGTTATGACTCCGGGGTATCTGCATTGGGGATAGTAAACCTATTTGAAATGACTGAGTGGCTTAGCAGCCATGCTGATTGAGATAAGATTCTGTGTCGTTATGTTAAACCCTCCATTTATGGGTCCAGTACTGAGCTATGGAGAAGATAGTGATGAGGATGGGATAAAGGCTTTAGGTTAAATAAGTAGAGTGCAAAGCTATTTTAGTTATATATTTTAAATATATACTAGTATATGTGACAATTATTTTATATTTTCAAAATATATGTAATCAATTATAAAACATTTTAAAAGAGAATTTTAAATAGGAAAATATAATAAGTCTACCATCTTGACACAACAGCTATTTAAAATTTAGGGTGTTTTATTTCAATATTTCTTTTTATGTAGGATTTTTGTAAGTTTCTATTTTGAAATAATTATATATTCACAGAAAGTTGCAAGAATATAGTACAGAAAGGTCGTCTGTACACTTCATGCAGTTTTCCTCAATGGTAATATCTATATATATATATAAGCCTAAGTGACCATTTGACTGTTTGACCGTTCAACCAGTAGCTATGATGTGCACTGACCACCAGGGGGCAGATGCTCAACACACAGGCATGGAAACATGGAACAGACTGATGAATCTCAGAGAGAAGGGGAAAGGGGGAAGGGGGGAGGATGGGAAGAGATTAACCAAAGATCTTACATGCATACTAGAAGCCTGGTGCATGGATTCGTGCACCAGTGGGGTCCCTCGGCCTGGCCTGTGGGGATCAGGCTGTGTCCCTCAGCCTGGCCTGTGCCCTCTCGCAATCCGGGACCCCTCGGGGGATGTCAGACTGCTGGTTTCTGCCTGGTCCCCGCAGGCCAGGCCGAGGGACCCCACCTGTGCACGAATCCATGCACTAGGCCTCTAGTGTTGCATAACTATAGAACAATATCACAAACTGGAAATTGACATTGGTACTATCCACAGACCTTATTTAGATTTCACCAGTTTTTCTTGCACTCATTTGTATAATTCTCTGTAATTTTATCACTCTGGTGTGCAGCTTTGTGTAACCATCACCACAATCAAGATACAGAACTGTTCTATTGCCACAAAGATCTGTTGTGCATCTCTATAATCACATTACCCCACCCGCCCTGCCCCCAACCTCAAGCAACCACTAATTTGCTGTCACTGATTTGAGAATGTTGTATAGATGGAAACATACAAAATATAACCTCTTGAGATTGGCTTTTTCACTCAGCATGATGCCCTCGAGATTCATCTAGCTTGTTCTTTTATCAATAGTTCATTCTTTTTCATTGTTGAGTAGTATTCCATGGTAAGGATATATCACAGTTTAACCATTCACCCATTGAAGAATATTTGGATTGTTTCCAGTTTGGGGGGGTGGGTATTTATTTTTGTCTACATAGAGTTTACATATCTATTAACATGGAATACACACAGTTTATAGCTCTGTTTTACAGTCAGTTTATTTTCTATTTTATATACAACATTTAATGATTCTATAAACTTCCAGCAAGTAGATATATTATAATTTACTTAACAGTTCTTTGTTTGGGCTTTTTCTTATTTTCAATTACTTATAAAATTGTTAAGTTCTGCTATCATGTGTATTTGTTGACATAGATTTCTCCCACCCCCTTTTTGGGGAATTATTTCTTTGGCATAAATTTGCAGGATTAGGATCACTGGATCAAATGGACGATCAAGCTGATGTCTCTTAATCTGGCTTATTAAATTGTCCTGTGGAAGTGTTATACTGATTTACAGTGTGGATAGACATGAGCAAGCATCTTTCCCCTCTATTTTTAATAACTCTGAATTATGTGTGGTTCCCAAACTCCTCCACATATTGGAACCACCTGGGGACCTTCAAAACATCCTGTACCACACCCCCAGATTATGATTTAATTTGTCTGGGGTCTGGTCCAGGCTTTGGAATTTTTAAAGTATCTTTAGGTAACTCTAATATGCAGACAAGTTTGGAAATTATTGAGCTATATCATTTGTAAAAAATTTCACCCGGGCTGTAGTTGCAGAATGGTACCTCAGTCTTGTTTGATTTTGCACACCTGCAATTATTAGGGAGGATCTATTTGTATTTTCTCCTATGAAAATTATCTGTTCCTGCTCTTAACAGAAGCTTTTATATTTCAGAAATATATCAGACTAATTCTGGGGAACATTAACTATTGGAATCTTGGAGTTAGTCTACACATTTACAAAATAACCTTGACTTGGTGAACTTTCAGAACCTAATAGAGATGTCAGTGCACAGGAAGCCAAGGCAGGGCAGCAGAGTCTGGGAGAAAGGTCCCCTTCTGACCAGGGCTGTTGGAGTGAGCAGCACACTCCTGCCTGCTGGGGAGGGAGAGGAGAGCTGGGAGCCACGGCTCCAGCACTACTTCTTCTTCTTTTTTTTGTTTTGTTTTTTTCTTTATTGATTAAGGTATTACATATGTGTCCTTATCCCCACTTTGCACGCCCCCCTCCCATTCATGCCCTCACCCCCCTGGTGTCTGTGTCCATTGGTTATGCTTATATCCAGCACTTCTTGTTTTAGGACACTGACAGTGGAGCCCAAACCCTCTGCTAAGCAGCGGTGGGCAGTGTGTGAGAAATCTGTCCACTGTCCCTGGCTCAATTCTGCCCCTTTCCCTCCAGGCATCGGCTATGCCTCCCAGATGATCCTCGTCCTCCTCAATGCCTACTACATCATTGTCCTGGCCTGGGCCCTCTTCTACCTCTTTAGCAGCTTCACCATCGACCTTCCCTGGGGAAGCTGCCGCCATGAGTGGAATACAGGTAAGGTCATCTCCGAATCCATTTCCCCCAGCTGCTCTGCCACATGAACCAGGAGTGAGACGGTCCCCTTATTCCAGGCAATCCAATTCCCAGCCATAATTTGGGACTCACTAGAAATCTGGGAAGTGAATATCAAAGATAAGAGTGAGATTTCACCAGCATCAGAGGCCAAATGTATTCAATTAATGTATTATGAATTCATGTATTCAAATAGAACTATTTATGTAGTTTAGCTACTAGTATTTATTTATTCCAGTTTGAAATATTGTTAGTTTGGTATCTGTATATATTGTTTGTACATTTTCTTGTTTCTCATGCCTTCTCTCTGATACTGTTTTAGGTCTTTCCAACTCGCAATTCACCTGGCTTTAACCAGGGAAGGAGCTGTTTTGTATGTCATCAATATAATTTATAATAGCAATTAATTTTCTCTTGTGCCTGCAAGACTACAAGAGCCACCTGTGGCATTAGAACTACTAAGTCTAATGAATTGAAAGTAATGAAAACTTAAAAATACCTAGGGTAGTGCTATCCAAAAGAACTTTGTGATGAGGTACTGTCTGGAATGGTAGCCAGCATGTGATTATCGAGTACTTGAAATGTGGCTCATGTGTGTGAAGAACTGAATTTTTAAAATGTTTATTTAACTTTAATCATTTAAATGTTAAAGAGCCACCTGTGGCTAGGGGCTGCCCTTTGGCTAGCGCAGATGAAGAGCTTACTGGACGTGTCCCGTTTGGGTCTCAGCATCTCGTCTTGCACTCATTGCCCAGATACCTCTCAGGGCCTGTCAGTGAGGCCCTACCTGTGCTCCTATTAATTTTTCTGGTTCAGATACATTACTCAGCTCTGAACTGGAGTTTGAATCAGTTACTGGCCAGGGAGGTGCATTTCTGCAATGGTTAGCATCGTGTTCAAGGCCCCTCTTGCCCTCAAACCTTATGCTCCCTTTTCAGGTATTCCCTGGCCGAGCTCTGCCACCTCCTCCATTCCACTAATTTTGAGTGAAAAGTAAAATCTTGGAGGTACTTCCCCTGCCACCCTCAGGTGCATTAGGTTCTTGGCAGTACCTGCACTGACCCCTGGCCCTGCTGTGGCTCCTACATGCTTTTCATCTGTTTGTTGGTCTGGTTTTCCCAAAGGTCAGCAAGAGCTTAAAGGCAGAAAAGATGTCTTTATCTCTATGGCCTTTGTGCCTATCACAGTGCTGGCTACATTACAAGCACTAAAATATTTGTTGAATGAATCAAGTTTTAAAAATATGTTATATTCTAATATTTTCTTTATGTGATATATTTTCCCTCCCTCCCTCCTTCCCTCCCTCCCTCCCTCTCCTACCTTCCTTCCTGCCTTCTTTCCTTCCTCCCTTCCATCTATGTGCACTGAAATACCCTTGACAACCAGCTTGTCAGATGGTGACTTTATCGAGATCTCAGTGGAGTTCCTCTTGTAAAATTGTGTGACTCTTTGGTGGCCTAGGACTTTTGCTTTAGGCCTGCCTTTAGTTTGATTGGGGGTGGGGTCTCTCTGAGACAATTCTGAGGCAAAAGCAACACCCAAGTCTCTTGCTCCCTGACATTTTGGACATTTCTCCTAGCGAGTCTGTTTTTACTCTGAGCCGGGCATCTTGAATAGTGCAGGATGGCCTATCCTGCCGTGGTGAAATGCTTGGTGTGCTGAAGCTTCGAGGAAAGTGACATGTCTAGTGAAAACAGTGCCGACTGGCATTGCCATCCAACAGATATTATTGAGCTCCAACTCTGTTCTAAGAACCGAGGAAGTGGTAACATAAAAACGAAGGTCCCTGCCTGCATGGAATTGTCATCCTAGTGACAGGAGACAGACAGACCATACACAAAATAGATGAGAAATAATAGTTATCATGTGAGAAGGCCTGTGGAGAAAAACAAAACAGGGAGGAGGTTTTAGAAACTTTAGGGGTGGGGGTGTAATTTTAAATGGGTCATCAGTGAAGGCTTTACGGAGAAGATGACAGGAGTAATGCTCCAAGGAGGATGGGGAGTGAGCCACTGAGACAACAGGAGACAGACACGAGGTTTGCAGGACTCCTAGTCAAAGGCCCTGGGGCACCAGTGCCAATAGCACCCAGGGAGCAACCGGGGTGGTGTAGCTGGGGCAGGTGAGTAGCAGCAGTGGGAGGTGAGGCCAGAGGTGATGGATAGATTAAATAGGGCCTTGGAGGTGAGTATAGGGGTTTTGGCTTTTTTCTCTGAGTGGGATAGGAAACCTGTTGGAGAGTTTTGAACTGGGGCGTGACGTAAAACGTGACTTACATTTTAACAGTGTCACTCTGACTGCTGTATGGAGATTTGACTAGGGAGGCAAGAGTACAGGAGTGGGGAGGCATGCGATGGTGGTGACCTGCGGCAGGGTGGTGGCAGTGGTGATAATGAGAAAGGTCAGATTCTAGGTATTTTGAAGATAGAACATACACAGCTCACTGGGCTGGATTCTAGCCCTCAGTCACTTACAAGCTAAGACAGGCCATGTTGAAGCAGACTCCCTTTCTTCATGTGTACGATGGAGAAAACACTATCTGTCTTAATATTTTTGAAGATTACTGTACTAATAAAATAGAAAAAATACTGTCGACATGCTTTGTGAAACTCCAAAATCATGGGCAAATAACTAAGAGCTACTGCTTATTGAGTACTTTACCGACATGTTTTCATTTGAGTCCCTGTCGGTCCTACAAAGGGATGTTCTCATGTCATTTGGGAGATGAGGGATGTGAGGCTTGGAGAGAGGGCCAGGGTTCCAGCCAGAGCTTTCCTGCACCTGTCTCCATGCTCTTTAGCGACTTGGGTGCGTAACGTCCCTAGAAGCCTTCTTAGTATTCTTCAAAGGTTATGACTTTACACACAACACTTACCTGGGAATGTTTGTGTACTTCGAGGTGTGTCTTTCCTGATGCCACCTGATCACGCTTTAGTAAGAATATGCACCCAAACATTTAGAAACTGACAAGTAAAAGCATGTGGGAGAGGGTGGCGTGGGCTTGTCGAGGTTACGTGTTTAAGGATGTTTTGTATGGACAAGGTCAGCCCAGTTCCTTCCAGATACCTCACTTCCATTCTCCTGAAATTTCACCCCAAATGATTTTTCTCTTGCTTCCTTCCCTGGGACCCATGAGTAGAACACTGTGTGGAGTTCCAGAGGACCAATGGCTCCCTGAATGTGACCTCTGAGAATGCCACCTCTCCTGTCATCGAGTTCTGGGAGTAAGTGAGGCCCGTTTTTTATCCCCCACTGTGGGCTGTGTGTTTGGAAGAAGGCCACAGGGATGGGCTCAGCCAGTAGTGCAGCGGTTCTCAACCTGTGGGTCGCGACCCCTTTGGGGGTCGAACGACCCTTTCACGGGGGTCGCCTAAGACCATCGGAAAACACATATATAATTACATATTGTTTTTGTGATTAATCACTATGCTTTAATTATGTTCAATTTATAACAATGAAATTGGGGGTCACCACAATATAAGGAACTGTATTAAAGGGTCGCGGCATTAGGAAGGTTGAGAACCACTGCTAGTGACTCCCAATGGACGACAAAGCAAGATTTTCTGTATCCTTCATTGGTGGCCCTGTCACGTCAGTGGCATTTTTCTGTTGTGTCCATATTTGTGGTTAGTGCAGAACAGGTTTCAAAGATGAGAATTTTGCAGCTCTCCTAACTTTCCTCTCCCACGTGTTCACCCCCTGTTAGCTAGTGCACACCCTCGTGTGTCTACAACCCTAACTACCCTCCTCTCTTCAGCTGCATGTACATTGTCTCTTATCTTCCCTTCCCCAATACTGACATTCATCTAGGGCATGATTCCTCATATCAAAACATCCTATAACCCTGGTTGAGAAAATGTGTTTGCACCTCCTTCTCTAGGTTAAATTGGTGCTCAGCCTCCCAGAGCAAACTTACCTGAGAGCAGTTTATATTTGCCTCACTTTCTATCTACCCCCATCTCTGGGCAAAGGAGAACCTCATGGATTCAGGTGACAAGAGCTGACAAGCCTTTGGACAAGAGCTGGGAGGCATGGCTCCACTGCCTGAGATGCAAGGGCCACAAAATGGAGGCTGGCAGCAAAGTGGAGCCTGGCTCAACCTTCTCTCCCCAGGAGGCGGGTCCTGAAGATCTCTGATGGCATCCAGCACCTGGGGGCCCTGCGCTGGGAACTAGCCATATGCCTCTTGCTTGCCTGGGTCATCTGCTACTTCTGCATCTGGAAGGGGGTCAAGTCCACGGGCAAGGTCCGTGTTAAGGAGCTCCTGGCCCTCCCATCCCAGGACTCCCTGCCTTCACTGGGGGTTCAGTTACCCAAGAGTTTCCTAAGTTGTAGCTTAGTCAGGGATGGGAGGGAATGACCCAACCAAGATTTGTATGTCTTGCTCTTTGAATCTTTGCCTCTCCTGAGTTCAATCCCAAATCCTTCTGCTCTTTGGGGAAATTAAATGGAAGAGAGAGAGGGTGGGTGGGTGGGGAAGGATACTTCCAGAAGAATTTGACCTTGGAATATACCACATATGTGGGCATATTGCAAATAGAACATAGTTCATGGCTCCCTAGCTCAACATTTCTTTGGAAAAGGAATTCCATTAAGATCATTAGTCTCAACATGATTCCAAATCAACCTGAGAAGCTGGGGGGACTCTTTGCCCTAGAGCAGGGGTCCTCAAACTTTTTAAACAGGGGGCCAGTTCACTGTCCCTCAGACCGTTGGAGGGCTGGACTATAGTTTTAAAAAAAAACTATGAACAAATTCCTATGTACACTGCACATATCTTATTTTGAAGTAAAAAAACAAAACGGGAACAAATACAATATTTGTATTTGCATGTGGCCCACGGCCGTAGTTTGAGGACCCCTGCCCTAGGGGGTGTAGGAATTAGAAGGGCATTCTGAGTTCTCCAGACTCCTACCTTGGAGGCCTCTGACAAGGCATTCTTCCTAATCTGGTTGCACTAAGCTTGTAAGCTCTGTGAGGACAGGGATCATGTGTTACAGACCTTTTCATACCTGACATCCCTCGACATAATTCCAACATGCCTGTTGGGAGAACGCCTAAGTTCATTCAGGCACTCAACAAATATATATTGGGTATGTGTTGGGGGAGGGTGAGTGGTTTAGGCAGGAGGGGGGAGAGGAGAGGTTTGGTAGGGGAGGTGGAACTGAGGTGAGAGGGTAGGAGCAGATGGGGAACTCCTCTGACCTCTTCTGTAGCGGGGGAGCTCCTGCCTCCAGTCTCACTGCTGGGTCTCCAGCCCCCTCTCTCCTACTCACAGGTTTCTTATCTCTCATCTGCCCCTTGGCCAGGTGGTGTACTTCACAGCCACATTTCCTTACCTCATGCTGGTGGTCCTGTTAATCCGAGGGGTGACACTGCCTGGGGCAGCCCAAGGATTCAGTTTTACCTGTATCCAAACCTCACACGTCTGTGGGATCCCCAGGTAAGAAGCCACAGACAAGGGTTGTCCTGTGGCTCTGGAGGTGCTGGAGCTACAGACCTTCCCTGTGCTCTGTGGGCCAGCCCTGCTCCTGGCCCAACCCTAAAGCATCCACCATGGGCCAGAAGATCGCAGGCATCTGTTGGCAGCTGAGTGTGGTCCCCCTCCTTGGCTCACAGCTGCCAGGGAAGCCAGGGGGGCCTGAGGCCCGAGTAATATTTCTCAGGAGTGGCAAATATGTCACTTACAGCCTTTGCTCACGGGCTGGACCCTATCTACCCCCATCCCCTTTGTGCACTTTTCCCCTTGGCCATCTTATTTCACACCTAGCTTCTTCTCTGCTTCCTAACCCTCCACCAGCCCCCTCTGGCTCCCTCCCTCTGTCAGAAGACCCATCTCTAGGCCCAGTTCCCAGCTGGGCGGGTGTTGAGTTTCCTGTCGGTCATCAAGAGGCCCCGCCCCTCCCCTCCCCTGAGCCAGCTTCCTCCGGGCCCTCACAGGGACGGGGGGTGGGGGTGGGGGTGGGGGGGTGGGGGGTGTGCTGCTTGCTGACTGGAGGGGTTTGTAAAGCGGGGCCTGAAGTAAGAAGCCGCTGCCTCTGGCGGGTTTCTTATCTCGTGTTTGGCTGCCTTTTGTGGAGGGCGGGGTGTGGGGGCGCTCCCCCAGAACCCTGAGATGTGCTACCAGCTCTGTGCCTGCCTTCCCCCGGGAGCATGCGCACAAGTTTGACAGCCTCCCTCTCCTGGAGGCTCTCTGCCCAAGACAGGGACCCTGAAGATGAACAAGTGGGTGGCGGTTCAAACATTTTAAATAGCGAGGCACCAGCGCAGTCACTGAAATTGCTGGGAGGGAGCAAGAGAAAAGGAGTGGCACTCGCGTCCACAGTCCCTCCGGGCGACGCAGTTCACGCAGAGGCGGTGGCTCCCCCTTGCGCGGAATTTGGGGTGATACAGAAGCTCAGTTATCCCCAGTCTCCCAGCCGCCTGGCAGAGTTATGAGTTCTTCCATCCTGAATCCTACCAGGGCTGCCAGGGCTCCGCAGTCAGGAACATCCCCATGGAGTCGAGTAGCCTCGCGCCCTGGGTATTTCTCCGTGGTCTGCTGGTGGGACACGAGCTCCTCCTCCGCCTCTCGCACGTCTTAGTCACAACAGCGCTGCAGATGGCTGCTGCGTCACATCCAGTGGGGCGCAGGGCTGCAGTCGGCTTTAGCCACAAACTGTAGAGTCATGGCCATTGGAGCTGAAAGGGCTCCAGAAGTCATGCAGGGCAAACTCCTCGTTGCACAGATGAGCAAACGGGGCCCAAGGTCACACAGCCAGAGGCAGGCCAAACGAAGTGCACTTTTATTTTGTGACTCATAAGCCCTATGGCTTATCTGGAACCAAAGGGCTGTGATGGAGAGGAGGCAGCAGGCAGGTCTGGGCAGCAGAGCGGAGGGAGCCATTGAGGTTCTGGAGCAGCTGAGCCACAAATCCCACCTTTGTTTGGAGGTCAGGCTGGGAAGGAGGGAACATGTTCAGGCCAGGAGACAGGCAGGTGGGCTGAGGGAGAAAAAGGAGAGAGGGTCCAGTATTTCTGGAACGGATTTATGGCTTCTGTGATCAGTGCCTTGTTTGTCCTGATCAGCGATTTACCGCTAAACACTGTTGAGTGCTTACAGTGTCTCTGGCATTAAGAGGTTTACATGCATTATTTCAGCTAATCCTCACGGCAGGTCAGCGAGGTACCCTTATTTTATAGATAAGGAAATGAAGGCCCGAAGAGCTTAAAGAATTTTCTGTCCTTGCACCTGCACCTGGAATCCAGGTCTGAATGATAAAAATTCCATATACTTTGTCATCTCTTGAAGGCAAAGTCCCCGTGTGTGTGTGTGTGTGTGTGTGTGTGTGTGTGTGTGTATCTTCCAGCAAACATAAAGAAGGTGGACCAGATCGCTTTAAACGCTGAGAGTTAATAAGGCCATCATTCTGTGTCTGGGTTACTAGAGGGAATAAGACTTCTTTTAAATCCGCTCTCCAGGATACCATCTTTCCACCCCCAGCCAGCACAGGCTGTGCAGGAAGCATGAAGTTTCAAGGGCCTGGCTTGGCCCTGCACTTTCAAGCTGCCTGCCTTGTTAGCTGCCTGGCCCTGGCCCCATGCTGAAGTGAGGCCCTTGTTGTCTGCGAGCAGAGCAACCCCTGCAGGGTGGATGCCCTGCCAGAGCACTAATTGAATGTAGTTGGCACCCCCCAGGAAGTGTGATAATTCCAACTGGCATTTGCCTGGCACTTGAGAAAGGTACAAATTCCTGCTAGCCAACACAAAGACCAAAGACATCTCTCCGGTGAGCACTCGGCGTGGGAGTGGGGAGCCAGGCAGAGACAGTGCTGGGTCATCTGGTTCCCTCTTTTCCTGCCAGGCTTTGTGTGCAGGGGGGTTGCTGCCTGTCCCGGAGCTCCCGGGGCTTGTCTCCGTCCCATGAGGAACGGCCGCTGGTGCAGTGTGTGCTTTATCCGGGCACTTGTTTCTTTCCTGTTGTCGGTCCTCCTGTCCTCTGTTAAGGGCAGGGTAAGGGCATGGGCTGGGGGGTAGGGTGTCCAAAGAGCCTTTGTTGAACCTTTTAAATCTCTGCTAAATGATTCTAACGAAGGATTTATTTAGGGAGGAGATTGGAACCATTGAGTCTTTTAAAAATTGATATTGTACATTGTAATCTATGGGACCTCATATACACCTGAAACAAATATAATAATGTTTGTCAACTTAATGGAAAAATAAAAAAATATTCTTTTAAAATTAAGATTTATGAATTGGGTGTCATCCCATCTAGTAAACAGAAGGGTGGCCCAAGAAGTTGTACAAACTGGAAGGTTTTTGTGGGCAGACACTGGGCAGGGTGGAGACGTTATTAGCAGAAGAAAAGAGGGTTGTTTCTGGCAGGGTCACCTTTGCGTAGGAAGGGGTAGTTGGGGTCTTTAGAGGGCAGATGACTCTAAGCCAGACTGGCTGAAGGTCACATTCCTGGGAGGAGCTGAAAACTGCAATTACGTTTTGGCTCGTTGTGGAGTGGGAGGTGGGGCAGGTGACACCACCTTGTTTCTTTTTCTTAACCATTGGGAAAAGAGAAGGAAACCTGCTCAAAGGATGCAGCCCGCTCACATTCCTATTGCTCACTGGCTCTCCCAACCCCACGGCCTTGATGACAGGGTTTTGAACCAAGTCACTTGTTCCTCCAGGCTAATGAGAACCCTATCCAAGGACAAATGATCCACGGGATGGATAATGACCGGAGACTGGCCTCCAGTCTCCTGCAGATACTTCCCACTGCCTGAACCCATGGAGACAGAAAGGAGGCGAGGGAGTCCATTGGTACAATCGGACAGGGCAGCCTTCCCTGGCACAACAGCAGGAAAAGGGTGGAGAGCAGATACGGAGGCGCAAATAGAAGACAGGCGAAGTTGTTTCTAAGAGGCAGTTATGTGGAAGCAGAGACATTAATATGTGTTTAGAAGACAGACAACAAGTAACTGTCTTCGTTCACTGACATTATAGGCATCCCAAACACCCACTGCCGAGTTCTTTAGAGACCCCGTGAGAACACATTTACCCTCCAGTTCTCTCTCTGCAAGCACAACCTATTTCCAAGAAAGTCCTCTTGTGTTTCTTCAATAAAGTACCTTTATGATTTTTCACTTTAATAAGAAAAGTAACAAGCAAAACCACTAATTTTTTTTCTAATTTTTATTGATTTCAGAGAGAAAGGGAGAGGGAGAGATAGAAACATCAATGATGAGAGAGAATCATTGATCAGCTGCCTCCTGCACACCCCCTACTGAGGATTGAGCCCGCCACCCGAGCATGTGCCTTTGACTGGAATTGAACCCAGGACCCTCCAGTCTGCAGACCTATGCGCTATCCACTGAGCCAAACCAGCTAGGGCCAAAACCATTATTAAAGAGAAAACCACAGGCCCAAAATGGTGTCACTTGTGCTAAAATCCCATGATACCAAACCTAGATTAAATATCTATTTGCAGTTTCAAACTCTCTTAGAAACATAATCTTGATCAACCTGTCTGGGATTTTCTGGTCAAGACCAATGAGGTAATTTCTATAGAAGAAAGAGGCAATCTGTGAGGTAAAAACCTTTCACCAAAAAAGACATCCTGGCCCATTTCTTTTGCTGACTGATTCCTTCCCCTGCCCTTCTTCCTATGGGAACCTTTTATTTTGTACAAGCCCATCAGAGTGCCCTTTTAGTTGCTACGGGGCACACTGCCTGATTCATGAATTGCTTAGTAATTGCTAATAAATCCAGGGGACCTCATCATCACTGAAAGGTGGTTGCTTTTTAAAAATATGCAGCCCAACAACAAACCAGCAATAGCTGACGTATCAATCATGTGTTTATTATTTGCCAGGCACTTTACTGAGTGTGTGACTCATTGGAATCATCCCACTAACCCTGGGAGTTAGGTGTTAGCCCCCCTTTACAGATGAAGACACCAAAGCTTAGAAACCTGAAGAAATTTGTTCCAAATCACCAAACTAGCATGTGTGGGAGCTTGGGTTTTACATCGAGTAGTTTTTTGGAGTCTGCTGTATTAATCACCATGATATTCATTTTCCTAAGAATAGTAATTATTTGAGAGTTTTAGTGGCTATTTTTTATTATTCCAGAAGGTGGGATAGGGAACTCATATTTATCTTAGGCATTTTACATACACTATTTAATTTATTATTATTGCCATTTTCCCGGTGAGAAAAGTAAGGTTCAGAGAGGTTAAGTGACTTGCCTAAGATCATACAGCTAGTAGTTAATAGAGTTAGTAAATTATCCCAGCTCATTTTGACTCCAAAACCCAGGCTTTTTCCATTACACACTATTGCCTTCCTAAAAATAGTAAGCATAAAATCCTTGGGGTTGGACTCCAAGTTGAAAACATCTTTTCTGTACCTCCCAGAGCTCACTCTCTCTTCCTTGGTGCCCCCAGAGAACTCGTTTCTGCCCACACTCCCCCAAGGGTCTCTCACACTTGTTTCATTCTTGGTTAGTCTCCTGCCCCAGCCAGAGACACATTGGAGCTTTGTTCCAGAAACCAGGGCTCCTGGCACAGGCGGGGAGTGGGCCGCCTGCAGTGGGAACAGAACAGCTTGCTCTGCTGGTTCCTTCAGCCCTTCTTCTGACCCCATTCCTTCCTCCTATCCCAGCAGGCTTGTCAGGCAGCAGCTGTGCAGAGAGCTGGGCTTGCCAAGCTCCCAGCGAGGGGGCCTTAGTCAGAGGCGTCACATCTGACCTCGCACTCTGGACGCGCAGCCCCCTGCTGCATTCTCCTCTGTTCTCAGTAACCTCTCCTCCCAACTCGGTCTTAGTCTGTCCCCCTCAGGGTGAGGTAAACTGCCAAGTCACAACTTTTCTTCCCAAGCCCAAGTTTACAAAACTTTATAAGCACAGGATTTGCACCCCTGCCAGCACGTGGGCAGCCACAGACATCTCTGTGGGCACCCGGCAGTTTCCCTAGCAACGTGTGGGTCCCCCTCACCCTGTGGCTGAGAGGCACAGGGAGCAAACCTCCTAGGCCGGATGGCCTGTTATGAAAGATCACCTGATCTCACGACAGAGGGAGCCCCCGGCAGAGAGGTATCGCTCCCCACCCCGCATCTCTGACCCCGGGGTAAATCCATGCTGTAAAGCTCAGTGCTGCTCATAACCCACGGAGTGAGCCAGAGGGAGGCAGGACAGGGTGACCTTCAGACCAGAGGTCAGTGCGTTTTCCTGAGTTGACCACCTTACAGTATCTGGGGGGCAGAGTTTTAGAAGGAAAAATGATTTAAAACATCTCCTCAGCCCCGGCTGGGTGGCTCAGTTGGTTGGAGCGTTGTCCTGTACACCAAAAGGTTGCGGGTTCCATTCCAGGTCAGAGGATATACCCAGGTTTTGGGTTTGATCCCGGTTTGGGGGCTTATAGGACACACTGATCAAAGTTTCTATCTCTCTCTCTCTCTCTCTCTCTCTCTTTCTCTCTCTCTCCCTCCCCCTTCCTCTCTAAAATCAATAAACATATCCTCATGTGAGGATTAAAACAAACAAAAATCTCAAACTTTTGTCATCAAACTGAATTTTGTAAACACCCCATTCTTGTGTGCAGGTTCTTTCTTTTCTTTCTTACCCTAACCCTTCTTTTGCTTTAGAAGTAAATCCTGATGAGCCCTCTCCTTCCCATTATAATTTCTCTCATGTTCAAAAAAGTCCCCTGGTGTTTCCACCCTCCATACTATTCCTTGGTAGTGGCCCTTCTGGATCCGCCTCCGAGCCCTGTTCCTTGGTGGCAGCTTCTGCCTCACAGAATTCCTTGGGGATGGGAGCCACAGTGAGCAGGGGGAGAAGAGGCTAGATATTCCCCCCTCGCCTTCACCACCTTTCCCTGCTCTTTTCCCTTTCCTGCAGAAACGGAAACAACAAGAGGAGTGAGTGCCAGGATGCATCTCTGACGCCAGCCTGGGGGCTATAGGGCAGGGATTCCCACATCTGACTGCTCAGTAGGATCACCCAGGAAGCTTTGGACACGATACAGATTTCTGGGTTCTCCTTTAGCCCTAGAGACTCAGTGTCTCCACTGGGGAGGCTGGTTGAGGAATCAATGTGATTCTGATGTAGTCAGCTTGCCAGCGGGCCCCTGGGACCCACTATCATGCCGAACAAAATGGCACTTTGGTGGGTGGGTGTGACGAGAGAGAGCAGCGGAGGCTGAGGGTAGTGGCGATGTCAGGGAGGCAGGGAGGACAGGTAAGGGCCGTAGGAGCTTTGGACAGAATGAAGCTGAGGCTTGGGTGTGTGGGGGCATTGGGAACCTGATACAGTGAAAGGAAATTGGGCACGTGTGTGGGGGCTACTGGGGTAGAGCCAGACAACAGTCAAGAAACTGGAACACAGAGATGTTGGGACAACTGCTGGCATCCCTTGTAGAGCTCACATCCTCCGAAGGCAGGAGGCGCCTGGGAGGATCTGTCACCCCAGAACCCCACCTCCTGCCAATCTGCAGGGTTGCCTGGTCCTGTTTGCCTTGATGTGCTTTCTCTTTGGGATGTTATTCTAGCTGTTAGACCTAAATCATAACACGCGCAGGCTGGGCCAGCAGCTGAGACAACAGTGACAACAACATACCCTGTGTTAGCTGGAGAGCTCTTCCCCCCCAAGGAGAACAAAGCCCTTTGCAGATGCATTTCTGTTCATCCTCTTGACTTTCTGGTGAGCTGAGGATTACTCTTCCTGCTTTCCAGACCGAGGGTTTGGGGGCACGAGGGGAAAAGCTTCATCCCACGTAGCACTGAAATTACGGACCATTAGCTCAGAGATCCTGTCTCTGGTCACACCTCCAGGAGAGCCCAGGACAGGAGATGGTGGAGGCAGAACCAGGGCTTTGTGTCTTTGATAGAAACCTGGTGCCAGGCCTCGCTTAGTTCCAGGGCGCCCTCCCACCGCTCACCCTCTCCACCATGGTCCTTCCGTCTTCTTCGAATGCCTAAGGCCGATGCCATGGTGGTAGCGCTCGAGAAACCCCATCTAGGGGCTCAGGAAGTAGAGCCCATTGGGGTCGCAGGGTCGCAGCGGGGCCTGCACAGGCTGAGGACAGGATTCTCGTATCCCTAGCCAGTGCCTGGCTCAGCCATGGTCCGTGTGCTCCCATGGAGCCCAGATGCCCTGGTTCCCTGGGGTGCAGCTTTCTTGCCTTTTCCCTGTGTAGGTGTGGATGGACGCGGGCACCCAGATCTTCTTCTCCTTCGCCATCTGTGTAGGGTGCCTGACAGCCCTGAGCAGCTACAACAAGTACCACAACAACTGCTACAGGTGACTGGGGAGTGGGCCTGAGCCACAAACCCACATCCCACTGTGCCTCCGGCCGTGCTGGGTCAGGGGTGATTTCATGGATTCGCCCACCCCCACCCTTCACCCCACTTTCCAATACTCCAGGGCTACCAGTTGCTGAAAGGGGCCAACTGCAGCCTAGGCAAACGGTTGGCGGGGGAGCGCAGCGGGGACCAGCCTGGGCCCTGGCTAATGTAGAGGTCATGGGGCTCAGGATGCCAGCGAGCCTGAGGAGTAAGTAGTCATGCCATGCAGTGGGGCCTCCGTCTGTCCTGCTGTGTACGGGAGCCCTGGCAAACATGGATTCCTTACCCACCCTCCTTCACCCCTGCCCCAGCTAGTGTCCCCTCATCGTGGTTCCCTTTCCATACCTGGTTCATATCAGAGAATTTAAGTCAGTTTTAATATCAGCCCCAAATAGCATAAAATTTCAGAGTCAGATTTAGGTGACTAAGAACCATTGGTTGCTTGGGACTACCCAGGCCTGCGTCCTGGGCGTTAGCACGGCGCACTGAATTGTGTCAGTGATGGTGTCCCAAAGGTGTGGTGGCAATGTGTCGGGGAAGGGAGGCTGTGTGGCAGTTTGTAATTTTTCCATTAATATTTTACTTCCTCAGAGCCTCATTCTTTTGGGATGACCTTGCTTTATGCCAAGTCTAAGCCAGTGGGGTTGGGGGATCAGCATG